GAAGGGATATGCAATTTGTTCAGCACAACTACCGGGAGTAGCCTGTGATTCTTGTTTCTTTGTCATTGTTCTTCATTTAAAAAAATGAATGTCATTAAAAAACAAACAAGTTATATTTTTCTGGATAATTACACAAATGTGTTTTCTGGTTTTAAGTGCATAGCAATTTCTACATGATGACTGATGCTTACATTGCTCACTGAGGTAAAATACCCACAAAGCAGATGTACTCTTTTCAGGTATTCAACTCTACATATTTTAATTATATGGTTGTGATTATCTAAATTGTATGGGTGCCACATCTCCATGTTGAAGCTCTAAATCCAAATGACTGAACAGTAGCCATGTAATCACAAACAGCACTGGAATGCCCTAAGAGATGTTTCATGAGAGATTTTTGTTGCTGTGTAGACACCAGGACCTATTTCTATGACCTGAGATGCCATGATGAGACTTAATGACATAATTTTATGGGACCACCATTGAATATGTGCCCCATGGTTGTCTTCACCACCATTATGTAGGGTGTGGCTGTATTTAGAGCTAGGACCTTTCAGGAGGTAATTAAGTTTAACAGAGTCATAAGGGAAGGGATCCTAGCTGGACAGTCTGATGACTTTAAAGGAAGGATGTGGGAGGGGGGTCCCTGAAAATGCTACTGTCCATGGTGAAATGATCCACAGAGAGACAAGAAGGAAATACAGCTCAGCCCGACTTATTTAGTTAGGCTGGTTCAAACTTCTGGAGTCTGACCCCAAGCAGTTTATTATTTTTTTACATATTTAAACACAGTAAAACTTTGGGGAGAATTTCCTTGCAACAAAGCTTAAAGCATGATTGCATTGAAATTCCCTTGCAAAGCACATATCTTTTGCAAAGCACCGGTGACCTCTTCCACAAGAGTTAGTTCTGTGAACTGAGAAACAATGCTCAGGATGAGGGGGATTCGGGTAAGGCCTGGCTTTACAGAATCGCAAAGATTACCAGGTTATTAACACATCCATCTTTAGTATTCTGCATGGAAAACAGGTATATACATCTCTTCCATTAAAGCAAGCCTGTGTGTTTAACATTTCTGGCCTCTCGGTTGCTATTATAAGCACATGTATACCTCACGCCCTCTATAAAAGAGGAAAAGACACCAACAGTTTTTTGCACAGAGAAAAAGTCACACAGAGATACCGCGAGAACACAACCTTCAATAAGCAGAGAAAGGAGGTCTTAGAGCGCCCATGAGCACTGCAATGTTTAGCCTCCACAATAGTCAGGTAACGGATTTCCACTGATGAAGGCAACCAGTCAGTGATGTTTTGCTGTGGCAGCCCCCAGACAAATGACACAGCTGTGTGAGCACCATGGCAATCAAGACTGAGAGCATCTCCATTGTTGCAAGCATTTCTCGAGTACCTCTTCCCCAGTGCCAGTCCTTGGCAACCACTGACCTGATTTCTATTGCTGTGTGTCTACCTTTTCCAGGATGAGATTAACAAAACTATAGGGTGTGTGGCCTTGTGTGGATAATTATGTGTTTGGGATGAAGATATTTTCAGAGTGTATGGCAAGGAGCAAAGTGGGAAAGAATGGAGGGCAGAGAGGAGGAAAGAGAGGGGAAAGGGAAGAGAAGAAGGAAAGGGAAAGGGGACAGAGAAAGGAGGGAGGGAGGGGTAGAGGGCGGAAGGAAAGAGAGAGGGAGAGTAGAAAATGAATGTCTTGTTATTGGAGCAGGAGAGTTGACATTGAAAGTCCCTTTCAGTCTCAAAATCAACCTATTCCTCACTAAAAGGAAAGCTAGGAAAAGTATTAAGTGCCTGACCTGCTGAAGAGCTCCAAGTAAGAGACCCTGCTCTCCACTCCTTTGTCTAGGAAACTTGATCCGAGGAGGAGGGGACAGGAAGGGACAGGATCTGGAACACAGTTCAAAACTTCACGGAAATTATCTGAATGAGAATTTCTACCAGTAGGTACCAACCTTGTCCTGAATCCAGTGCTAGAGTCTCTGAGGCAAAAACACTAATTAAGTCAAGTCATTGTCCTTTACATTCAGGGTTCATGGCAGGCCAATTTAAGCCATGAGTATTAGGCAAGGCTGCTTTTTCATTTTTCAGAAGAATAAGCTTTAGCAAAATAAATCCAGAACTTTGCCTCATGAAATTGGGCATCATGACTGCTATAGAGAGATGATTCAACCCTGAGTAAGCCAGAGATGACTGAGAGCTATACAGACCCCTGAAAACTGAAGTCATCAATAGACAGCCTGAGTCAGAGTCTCATTCCAACACAAGTGAACGTCATCAGCAGTTATGTCAGTGTTACCAACTCACTGGGTATTATTATTGTGAGCCCACTTATTTGCTTAAGTGTAGCCTGCATTAAAGACATTAATACGTATAATGTTAGGTGAAAGGATTCAGTTTGCAGTCTCAGCTCTACGGCCAAATTGCATCAAATATTGGCCTTGAAGAAAGATAAACGTCAAATGCAAACACAGAGTTAAAGTCCTCACAGCAAGCGCTGTGCAGTGCATTCATTTCCCTTTAATGTAAAGTAGCAGATATGGAAGAAGAAATTTGCAATCTAAAACCAGGGAGCACCCAGTGGATGTCCCATGCCCACACACATATGGAAAACACTAATTGGACTTAGTGGACTATGTAAAGGAGATGGAGGAAGATGATGAAGAGGAAGAAAAAGGAAACCAAGTTGGGATAATATGGGGGGGATTAGAGTGGTGTATATGATCATATTATATATATTTATTAAATTCTCGATGAATAAAAATAAACTAAAAATAGACACTGGGCCAATGAACACATTAGAGAATCCATAAGCAAATTCAGGCAGGAACAATAAATAGCAAATAAAAGCAGGGAGCATATACCCACATGCAGTTATTTAGATGGAAGGCAAATCCAAGGTCTCTATCCCATAGTCTCCAAAAGGCAGCACAATTCTGAGGGGGTAGGAACAGGAATGAATGTTTTCCCCATCAGGAAAATTGCCATATATAAATGTTGATGACTGTCAATAGAAATAATTTAAATAGAAACATATGTAAAACCTGCTCTTCACCATTTAGAAACCATATATGTGTTCTCTAACATTGAAGTCTTATTTATCCTCTCCCAATGTGCTCCTATGCCAAGAATTAATCTCTTAAACATCCATGCCCCTGTTTTGAGAAATGGCAGGCCATCAGGATTGCTCCACATTTGCAGCCCTCTCATTCAGGAACTAAAATCACAAGCTTCCAGGGCAAATTCAGCAAGAGGCACCTAGTGTTTAATGGTGCATAAACGACTAAAAGTCAGGGCCTGTTTCCAATGCAGTTTGGAAAACCTCTCAATCTTCTTTCTGAGGTGTTGTTGCTATGAATAGAGACTTAATAGCAGAGGCAAGTAGAGAGTGTTGACAATCGTTCTGAAGTTCCAGAGTAAGCCCACAGAACCTGTTGCTAGTCTCATCACCCCCTGTTTGAATATTATTCACAGTAATATGGATGGATGGATGGATGGATGGATAGATAGATAGATAGATGGATGAATGGATGGACAGACAGACAGAAATATATTGACCCTTCTTGCTCCATCCAACACAGAAATAAGCATAGACTTGAGCAGCAAACTTTTTAACCTTGGACTCCCAACATTGCTTTCATATGGCCAAATGACTTCATCAGATTCTCAAATACAACTGTGACCTCAGGAGGTTCAAAGATCACAGTTGTGGTTGTAGACTCATTCATACACAAAAAATTTACTTACTACTTTGTTAAAGGTGAGCAGTGCTTAAAAATCATCAGGTCTTGGGCTAGAGAGATGGCTCAGAAGTTAAGAGCACTGGTTGCTCTTCCAGAGGTCCTGAGTTCAATTCCCAGCATCCATATGGTGGCTGGCAGCCATCTATAATTCGATCTGGTGCCCTCTCCTGGCACGTTGGCAGAACACTATATACATAATAAATAGATCTTTTAGGAAAGCCATCAGGTCTCAATTAACCTTCCCCAGTTTACAGATGAGAAAGCCAAGACACGTGGGGAAGAATGACGGGCTCCTTGTGTAGGACAGAATTAAAAAGGGACCACAGCCTTCATTCTGTGACTAAAATGGATGTGGCCCAGAAGGGTGAGACAGCGCTGATGGGGGATTATAGTAGAGGAAGGAAAGCTTCCATTCAGCTGCTGTCAGAAAGACTTGATGCAGGATACCTTTTTCTAAAGTAGCAGACAGTAGTTGTTTCCAGGAAGGCTGAGGTGAACTGACATAACTGTTAGTGATACAATGTACATTCTGTTAGTGATTGTCTTGTGCAGTTTTGAGCTCACTGAGACACCATCTGTGGAAACTGGATTGTCTCCTTCTTCTGCTTTAGACCCAGATATGCTTATGCAAGTGTCATACAAAAGCCCCTGTCCTGGATCAGGCCAATCCTCTACTCTGTAACAGGGAGAAAGGAAAACATTAAGAGAGCCCAAGAATAATAACATTGTGTCCTAGAGAACAGTTAGAAGGTAAAAACATTTCCAGCAAGCTTTGCCATTACTTATCCTGCGTGATATAAAAACGCCTTCAGTGGCCAAGAGAAGCCTGGAGCTGATCTATGGGGAGATGACTCTGCTCTGCCCAAGGGTCTCCAACTGGAACTCCAACATGATGGCTTCAGCCGGTCTTCCCAGTCATTTCTGCTGGATGGTTACAGGCACCCAGCTTGACGGTGGTGTCTATCTGCTGGGATTCATTCTTCACTTTGAAGCCTTACCCACGGGAACACTCTGATCCACCCCAAGCTTTCTCCACTAGGAACCCCTAATGGTTGCATTCACAGGGCTCCCCCAGTCAATTCCTGCTGGTATTTGTAAACCCTCATTTTAGTAATGTTTCCTTGGCTATTCCAGTTGTCTCTGCTGGATGTTTTGGGGGTCTGATTTGGTGACGCTTTGACCTACTGCTTCTCTCTATATGTTACTTACCATTTATTCTTTTACTTTTGTTTCCTGTTTCCAGATTGAAAGCACAGCTGTCATAGGTCATCCTACACCCAGTTCCAGAACAGTTATGCAAAAGAAAGATGAAACTAGGAGTGTCTGAATTCTATTGGAACAATGTGTAAATCTGTAAAGATAGATGGTGACACTGTTGCAAAAAAAAAAAATCTCACAACACGGGGACCTAAACTCTGTACAATATGAAGTAGAATAAATCTCCTATCAAATTGGCAATATTTTCAGTGTTCCTACTACTCTGCTTTTGCAAATGATCACGGTAGATGCTAGGGTGTCCACAGTGTCTTTCCAAAGAGGAATTTAGAATTCAGTACACAAAGGCTTCCAAAAGGGCACAGTTTTTGACTGAGCATGTCTTCATCTGGCAATCCATTCCGAAGAATTCTCACACAGACTTCTTTCTAAGCAATCCATTGCAGGGTCTATTCCAGTAATGAATGAATAGAAATCACCTTCAGATTAAATGAATTATGTTACTTTTTATGACAGAAAGACAATGGTTGTTAATCACATTACAAAAGCAGAGTTAATGCATAGTACATCGTGAAATTTTTAGATTCAGTTATTGCTAGTCAGTTTCCCATCACTGTAACAACAAATACCGGAAAACATCAAATTTGAAAAGAGAAAACATTCGTTTTTGACTCAGCATTTAAGAGACTTTAATCCATGAAAAAATGGGTTTCATTAACCTGCTTATCCTCCCTCCCTTTCTTCTGAGGATCTCCATCAAGCAGCCTTTAAAAAATAAGAGTTTAAAGTTGGTGTGTGTGTGTGTGTGTGTGTGCACCTAGGTGTGTGTGTGAAGTTCCAGTTCCGATGTGTCAGTTTGGTTCGCACACATGAGTGTGGTGGATTCCAAAGGAGTCCAAAAGGCATCAGATTTCCTGGAGCTGTAGTTACAGGCTAGTGTTAGCCACATAACATGGGTGCCAGAAACCAAAGTTGGATCCTACTAGAGAGTGATACAAAATCTTAATGTCTGCATAATCTCCCTAACCCCTAAACCAGGGGTTCTAAACCTTCTTAATGCTGTGGCCCTTTAATACAGTTCTGCATGATGTGGTGACCCCCAACCATAAATTACTTTCATTGCTACTTCCAAACAGTAATTTTATTACTACTATGAATTATAATGTAATGTGTTTTCCAGTGGTCTCAGGCGATTCCTGTGAAAGGATTGTTAGACCCTCTCTCCCCAAGGGGTTGTAACGAATAGTTGATTAGGAATATTACAAAGATTCTCACCAAACACTTGATGGCAGATTCCTTAGAAAGTAACTTCTGCATCTGGCAACAGTTGCACAGATGACATGAGCTTCTAGGAACCCTTCTGCTAGTGAGAAGAGGAAGGAAACAGAGCTCTAACTTCACTTGCTGACCAGTCTGACACCCGTGCAGAGGGAGCTGATGGAGTCACATTCCCTCCAAAGGATCCTGTTTCTTCCCAGTTCTGATATCTTTAGGGGTTTTTCATCTTGTGGCCACCTCAATTCCCTTGCAACCTCTATGGGCATGCCGAACTCCACACTGTTCCCTCCTGTGCGTCTACTGCTTCTCTCCTATGAAGACCCTTGGAATTGCATTAAGGCCCATCTGGACCACCGAGGATCAGGACCCATCATCAAGACGTTACTGAATCGCATCTTTTGCCACAGAAGGCATTATATTACTCGGCCTGCCACCACACAGAATAACACTGACATTTACTGGGGACTGGGATGCAGATGCATCTTTTAGGGAACAGAGACCACCCATACTGATTACAACCTTACCCCTAAACCCCCTCTCACACTATTTTCATTTTCTTTCTTCTCTCCAGGGTCCCCAGTCAGCCTGATTTTGTTCCTTTCTCTTTTCCTTGGTAGTTCCCAGTTTAGGACTTTGTAATGAGTGGAACTCCCAATGGAAACTTCCAGAAACCCTTTTAATAAAGACATCTCGGTTATTCGCCTTACCGTTCAGTTTGGAAAGTCAGCTCGACACCAGCTGGTTTAAAAAGCAACAAAAGGTGGAGCTCAGCTATAGACAAAGCGCTTATTCCCTCCTCTACACTAACCTCTTTCTATGACCTTGGCCAGGCAGTTTCCGCAAGCTGACTTTGCATTCTCTTTCCAAAGAGGACTCAGAAGATGTTTCTAGAAGCCCTGCGCTACTTAGATTCCACAGGAAGAATTCAAGATAAAATAGATTCTTTGCCTTCAAGATCCTTTGAGATACAGACTTCTTTTAAGTTATAGGGAGAAAAACACAGTCCTTTGTCCTTCTGGCTCCTGAGTTGGGAAGAAAGCCATCTGCCCTAGAAAGAAGAAAAGCATTGAAGGGAGATAAGAATCTTCATTTTCCAGTCCCAGTGGCCCAGATCTGAACACTTGAGGCTCTTGCAACAAGGAGAATTGAGTTTCAAAGATCTCTATCTTTGCTCTAAGCTCTATTGCTGTTTTGGAAAAAAGCAGGTCCTCCAACTAATAAAGATTCATTGGCCCAGCAATGTATGGCAACTGGATATCTTCCACCCAATTCTATCTCCTACCCAATTCCCAAACTCTCCTTTTGGGACCTTAAGTCTCATCTTCAGAGAAACGCCCTTCCATACACCATTGTAAGGACTATGCTATGTATTGAGGATATTATAACAAAGAAACCAGAATTATCTTACCTTCATAATCACATTCCCATCCTTAAGCCTTCAAAGCAATATTTGAAGTTTTATAGTTAAGTGCCAGTTATATACTGTACCTTTTTCTAATTACCATATCCTCACAACTCTGTGAAATAGGTATTATAGGCCCCATTTAAAGATGTAGAGGCAAGAGATAGCTTTCTGTAGATAGTAAGGCAAAGGGACCCATTGTGAAAACTACAAGTTGCTCACACATGCTCCAATGAAAGAAGAGGCTCGAGTTGAAAGGAAGATTAAATGTCTTGGTGTCTCAATCTGAAATACTGAAGAAGATATATAAAAGGACTTGTAGTTGTATGTGATGAGTTAAACGAGATAAGAGGAGGGACAGAGCTCTGGAACAATAATGGCAAATTGGCTGGTTTCCCAACCAACCCTAGAGGAACTTGTAACCATGTGTGGCATCATTCTATCTGTCTGTCTGTCTATCTATCTATCTATCTATCTATCTATCTATCTATCTATCCATCCATCTATCTATCTGTCATCTATGACAAAGAGCTAAATATGAGATAACCAAGAGAGATTGGGCTGTCTTGGTATATAAGACAGTTAACTTCTTGCCAGGGTAAAGGCACAAGCTGGTCATGTAAATGTGAGAATGAAGAGAGCTTAGGATAATTAACAGCACTTGAGACACCTGCAAGGTCAGAGGGAAGTGATACTGGCTAAGTGACTAAGAGTCACCACACAGTCAAGGACAACGCTAGGATCCAAGGTGTCCTAATTGAGTGGGCAGCCCATGATCATCTCCCTTTTGTGGTAAGAAGACAAAAATAGACTATGTGGGCCCTCTTAAGGCTCAACCTGTGATAGCCCAGAGAACTGGTTAATCTCAATATATATTATCCTAGCCTTTGTGTAGTTTCTTCCATCGCCCTATAAAAAGCCCAGACAAAGGAAACACAATGCCCTTTTCCCTCTTTGAAACCCCTTCCAACTCTCAGAAGTTTCTCAGTTTTACTTCATTTATCACATTTTCTCAACTTCTCCCTTTACAGTAATAATTCTTTTTCAAATTGTTCATTACATTGTGTGAGTGTGTGTATGTGTGTGTGTGTGTGTGTGTGTGTGTGTACACAAGTGGAGGTCAGAGGACAACTTGTGGGAGTTGACTCTTCTACCAGGTGTGTCTGGAAGGTCAAATTCACATGACATCCTTGGCAATAAGCAACTGTCATCTGCTGAGATGTCTCCCTGGCCTGCTTTGATGTAAAGAGTTGTTTTTTTTTTAAAGTCTGCTTCTACTTTGCTTATTCCAATGAGAAGAACATTTTTATTTTTTTTGTGATGAGAAAACAAACTTAGAACAACTGCCCCCGGTCAATGTTTGCTGTCCACAAGTGTGGCATCTTTGGGTCATGCACAACTGAGCTAAGAAATGTATATATGTGTATGTATATATATATATATATATGTATGTGTGTGTACATATATGTATATATATTATATGTGTATATAAACTAACATGAAAAAGTAATAAAATCCTCATGATTATTCAGACATTAGGGTGAGTGAACCAAACCAGACAGCAAAAGACAAATATTAAACAGTCATATTTACATGAGGTTTCCAGAAGAGAGAAATTAATATAGACAGAGAGTACATAGAGCTGAGGGACAGGGGGATGGGAGAGTTCACAACATGGCTAGTGTATCCCTCAGGATTCTGAACTAGGCCTGTAGATGGTCAGTGGTTGTAGCTATATGACATTGTAACAGTACATTTGAAAACGGCTAAACTGGTAGATTCCATGCTGTGTATATTTTAGTACATTACAATGAATGGATAATGGAACTGTGATATTTGCTTCTAAAAGCTTGTAACTACTAGGAGAGGGATCCAGTGTTTGAACCTATTTCACACATGTTATGGGGGAGATAAGGTGACAGTTTAGAGAGTAAAACATTTGCTATAAAACCATGGGGACCTGAGTTCTTCCCCATCACCCATGAAAAAATAAGAAAGAAAGAAAAGAAAAGAAAAAGGGGAATGAGCCAGGCAAAGAAGAATGCACTGGGAAGCTAGCCTAGAGGAAATGGAGAGTTCCAGATTGAAGTAGACAAATAATGTTCACATGCACACACAAGCATGCATCAGTTAAATAAAGAATTGGCCACATGCAGGAGACTCATCATCAACAGTAGCAGCAGCCTCTACACCAGGCAGAAACTACAGTGAGTCAACAGTAGCTCCCTGTGTCTGAACCCAGCCAAGTTCCTAAGCCAGGGTTGCTTTTCAGAGCAAGGCTGAGTGGCCAGGAGCAAGGCTAATACATTGCTTCACTGAGTATTATCTAACCACATCCTCAAGAGTCTCTTCAGCTGCTGGCCTCATCTGCTACTTGGTCCCCAGGTTCCACCTCTATTTGAGCTTTGAAAATAATTAAAGAACTAGATGAAAAATAAGTATGGCTTTTAATGCCTACAAGAAACAGGATTAGTGAATGAATGTAAGTGCACTGGTTCTTTTTAGGAAGATTATGGAACTTTCCAGGTCAGTAAGATATATCATTTTGTTATTTTGTTTTTAGTGTGAGCTTTTTAAAAAGTTTGTATTAGCATACATTAATTATACGTAATAACGGGTACCATTGTGACACTTACAAATATGTGTATTATATTTTTTGATCATA